CAGAGACCCCAGACCCACACGGTGTCACACAGTGTCACCTCCCCCACTCGGGAATGTCACACTGTCACACTCAGACCCCAGACCCACACGGTGTCACCTCCCACTGCATGTCCCATGACCCCAGACCCACTCGTGTCCCCACGGGGCAGCCCCCAGGTCCCTTCTGGGTCACCCTACTCACGGGTGTCACCCCACGGGTCACCCTGGTGTCCCCCAAACCCTCTGGGGTCCCCACCGGGCGCCTCTTTGAGCCCCTTTGTGTCACCCTACGCACGTGTCACCCCATGGGGCACCTCTGTGCTCCCCAAAGCCACCCGTGTCACCCCACAGGGCCCTTTTGGGTCACCCTACCCACTGGTGTCACCCCACGGGGTCATCCCCTTTATGTGCCTCACTCCCTGCACCCCCAAAGTCACTCGTGTCACCCCTCGTGTCACCTCTCTGGACTCCTCTGTGTCACCTGCACACGTGTCACCCCCTTCCTGTGTCCCCAAACCCCACAGGCCACGTCCCTGTCCCCCCCACAGGACACCTCCCGGTCACCCCACCCGGCTGTCACCTCCTCACGCCCCCAGACCCACTCGTGTCACCCCACAAAACGCCTCCCTCCCCTTCCAGGTCACCTCCCCGAGCCACCACGTGCCACCTTGTGTGTCACCAATGTCCCCCCCCCAGCCCTCCTCTTCCTTCCACCTTCCCAGCCCTTTCCCTGCCACCCCCTCCTCGTGTCCCCTCCGACTGCCACCCCCCCCCTCCCACGCTGGGAAGGGGACACGGAGCCCAAGGTCACGGTGGGCTGGCAGCCAGCCTGGCAAGGACAGGACAAACCTGGGCCTGCCCGGGGCCGGGAGGGGGGGGGGGACACGGCGACACAACCGAGACTGTCCCCACCCGGGCGGGGCTGTGCCACCCCCGGCACCGGGCTCGGCACGGAACAGCTCCCGCAATTCCAGAGCTTTTTCCCGGCCTGATCCGCACGGGGAAAAAATAAAAATAAAATAAATTAAAAAAAGCGAGATTTTTGGGGTGGATTTGGAATTAATGATCATTGGGGGTTTTAATTAATTAAAGGAAGAGAAAGCGAGAAAAGCAAAGCTTTGATCAACAGCTCCTCCCTTCCCCGGGCTCGGGGGGTTCCGTTCCACGCTCGGCTCTCTGGGATTTCCCCTTTTCCCCCTTTTTTTTTTTTTGCCTTAAATAACCCCGGCTCAGCTCCTCGCCCGCCCGCCCCTCACCCTTTCCCCGCCCCCCGGAGGTGGGGGGTGGGTTTGGGGAGGTTTTAGGGGGGTTTTGGGTCATTAACCCCATGGAGCAGGTGGGGAAACTGAGGCAGGACGGGCTGGGGGTGGGGATTGAGGGGTCCCTGAGCCCCCCCCGAACACGGGAGGTTTTGGGGTGGGGTTTGGGGTGGGGGGGCTGCACCCCGGGCCCGTCCCTGCCGTGCCCCAGCAGCTCCCGGCTGCTTTCACTTTCCCCCGGCGCGCCTGGGGCACGCCCAGGGTGTCCCCCCCTCAAAAAAAAAAAAAAAATGAACCCCCCAAATTGTTCCTCCCTGCACTGGAAACTTCCCAAAAATCAGCTGTAAACCCCCCACCACCGTGAGGCTGAGTGAGGGGAGGACCCCAAAGCCCCCCTCCCCAATTGCACCCTAAAAAATGAACTCTCCTTTTTGCTGGGCACTCCCCCTTTTCCTCCCTGCACCCCCAAAATCCCGCTGGGGCACAAGGGCCGGGGTCACCTTCACCCTGGGGACCCCCGCGGGACCCTCCCCCCAATTCCCAGCTGGCACTACCAAAACCTGGCACAGCACCCAGGGGTGCAGCGAGTCCAAGCCGGGCTCTGCAGGGCACCCCAGAGCTGTGGGGGACCCCAAAACATCAGGAAAAAAACAAACCGGGACCCTCCAAAGCAGCACCACGAGAGCCTGGAGTCAGGAACTACAGCATGGGACCCCCAAAAATATCCCAGGAGGAGCCTGGAATTGGGGATAGAACCGCGAGACCCCAAAAAATGTCCCAAAAGGAGCCTGGAATTGGGGACAGAACCGCGAGACCCCAAAAAACGTCCCAAAAGGAGCCTGGAATTCGGGATGGCACCGTGCTGCTGTCACCTCCTGAATCTTTCACAGCACAAAAAAAACCCCCTACAAAATATTTTCCCATTTTGGGCTCAATTTGGATTTTTTTCCAGCTTCACCCAGCCCCTGCTCACCCCAAATATCGAACACCCTTTAAATATTTTTCATCCCCTAAATCTTTCCAACTGGATTTAGGTCCGGGGCTGCCTGGTGCCAGGATTATTCCGGTGTCTCCCTCTTCCCCTGGAGGCAGCCGCTGGACAGCGCGGCCAGAGCATCCCAGCACAGCCACGGGCACATCCCAGAGCTCCCGGCAGAAATTCCGGCTCCAAAAGGGTTAAACCCACCCGGAGCACAACCGAGGAGAGAAACCGCCTGGAAATGTAAAGTGCCGTTTATTTATTATTTTCCCCCCCTCCCC